AGGACAAAGACCGACATGGCCCCGCGGAACCTGCTGAAAGCCTTGTCAGGGAGCTTTCGCCATGTGGCGCGACCAGCCTTCGTCGCAGCAAAGCTCGCAAAAGGTGTGCGCCTACCCTCGAGGCAAGGAAACGACAGTAGCAAGCAAGGGAGCAGCTTAGGCACAGAGCCCGGGCTAGAGACTCCATGCAGTCCACGTTGCAGTCGATCGCTTTTCTTATGCTACTTTGCTGTTTTGCGTGCATGTCAAGTCAGCAAAGCGGGACCCGGCCCGACCTGTGACGAAGCAGCCTGAAACCTGGTGTAACGTAGTGTGAGGCAATCCAGCACCTAGACTGTCATGGAAGCAATCCAGTAGCCGAAAACTCCGTTCGACCTACCATAAGACAATCCAACAGCCCAAAGTTCAGTTCGAGCTAGTATGGAGTAATTCAACAGCATCAACAAGCGCACCCGCGAGAAGAGAGTTTCACTATAAGGCCACAGGGTCTATGCCCGGAGCCGCAAAGAAGCCGTCACTATCGCCTCGCTCGAAAGCAAAAGCTTTGACTCGTCTTCCCGTCTCACCTTAGTAGCAGTCTACAGTGGCCTTACATCGAAGTCTCCACTTTCTGGCAGCACCAGGGCTCGAGCTCGAGCAAGCCATACGTCCTGCTAAGCCGACAGTCACCCGCTTTCATCCGGCCTACGCCTAAACGACTTGCCCAGCAGTAACATATCATAGCCCGGGACATATTTTGAACTTTCGGGACAAAGAAGGAGCGCCTGCTGGAGGGCTAGTTCGCTTATTTTGGGGACAAAGAAGGAGATTATCCTGGGGACAAAGAAGAAAGACCTGCTGGAGGGCTAGTACGTTGCCTATCCTGGGGACAAAGAAGGAGGACCCGCCGGAGGGCTAGATCGCTGATCCTGGGAAAGAAGGAGGACCTGCTGGAAGGCTAGTTCGGGATAAAGAAGGAGGACTTGCCGGAGGGCTCGTTCGTTTATCCTGGGGACAAAGGAGCACCTGCTGGAGGGCCAGTTCGCTTATCCTGGGAACAAAGAAGGAGCACCTGCTGGAGGGCCAGTTCGCTTATCCTGGGAACAAAGAAGGAGCACCTGCTGGAGGGCTAGCTCGCTTATCCTGGGGACAAAGAAGGAGGACCTGCTGGAGGGCCAATTCGCTCACCTTGGGGACAAAAAAGGACCTGCTGGAGGGCTAGTTCGCTTATCCTGGGGACAGAGAAGGAGGACCTGCTGGAGGGCTAGTTCGCTTATCCTGGGGACAAAGAAGGAAGACCTGCTGGAAGGCTAGTTCGCTTACCTTGGAGACAAAGAAGGAGGACCTGCTGGAAGGCTCGTTCGCTTATCTTGGGGACAAAGAAGGAGGACCTGCTGGAGGGCTAGTTCGCTTGTCCTGGGGACAAAGAAGGAGCTGGAGGGCTAGTTCGCTTATATCCTGGGGACAAAGAAGGAGGACCTGCTGGAGGGCCAGTTCACTTATCCTGGGCCAAAAGGGTTAATTCGCTTATCGTGAGGATGTGCTGGAGGGCTAGTTCGCTTATCCTGGGGACAAAGCTTATCCTGGGGACAAAGAAGGAGGACCTGCTCGAGGGCTAGTTCGCTTATTCTGGGGACAAAGAAGGGGGAGGACCTGCTGGACAAAAGAAGGAGGACCTGCAGTAGGGCCAGTTCGCTTGTTGGCGGAGCTGTTGGAAGGCCAATTCGCTTATTATCCTGGAAACAAAGAAGGAGGACTTGCAAGAGGTCTACTTTGCTTATCTTGGAGACAAAGAAGGAGGACCTGCTGGAGAGCCAGTTCGCTTATCCTGGGGGCAAAGAAGGAGGACCTGCTGGAGGGCTAGTTCGCTTATACTGGGACTTGCTGGAAGGCTAGTTCGCTTATCCTGGCAACAAAGAAGGAGGACTTGCTGGAAGGCTAGTTCGCTTATCCTGGGGACAAAGAAGGAGGACCTGTGGCTGTGGATGCTTTGCCTGCAGAAGCTGGCCCAAACACTGCTTCAAGCATTCCCGCAACCTTGCTCGATCCCGTGCCAGACTCGAAGGCCCTTACGAACATTAGCTCGAAGCCGGTTGACGATGCAAAGGCGCCGGAAGTCGGAGAGCGGATCATGTGCCTTCAAGAACCTCAAGCGCAGGCAATATTGGCTGGTTCCAAGACAATTGAGATTCGCGGGCGGCGAGCTCAATTGGGAACCGTCTGGGTGGGCACTGGCGGACGTATCCACGGCAGGATCACAATTACCCAGGCGCAGCCGATCACAGCTGAGGAGTTGCAGGCTTTGCGCACTTCCCATCCTGGTGCAGGGCTTCCTATGGAGACTCCACAACGCAAGCAGCTGTGGGCGCTGTGGTTGAGCACGCCGATATTTCTTCCTACGCCGGTTGACTACCACCGCCTGCCACGAAACCCTGGATGGGACCGTTATCGACGCGACGCCCACGACTTGGAGCCAAGGCGACCGATGCAAACCCCGAGCAAACGCTCCCCGAAACACGAGGAAGCGCCGGCCGACGAGGACCGGGTTGCAAACTCTGATGGTGTGCGGCTTGTAGAAAGCTCCTCCTACTCTTGCCGCCTGTCCATCGTTTGCTGGCAGGAGATCGAAGATGACAAGTGAGATGCCGCGTGTTGAGTATCAAACAGCGGTAGAAGCTCACACAGAAACCGATCACAGCCCAGCTGTCATCATTAGGCAAAGAGCGATGTAGACGTGGTGCGGTCAGGTCTTGCGCTGAGCATGCTGTCACACCATGCTGCATGCATCTGCAGCCGTCGGATCAAAGACCATGCTCCAGCACAGCAAGGCACTGTCGGTATCGCATGAGCCCAGTCCGTCGGCGCTGGGCGGACATCTCCGACAGTGACCCGGAGGAGCCGCTGTAATTCCCCCATCGACGTCTGAGCTTCGATCCGCGTCCGCTTGCACCTAGGACGACAACCCGTGGCAAAGCCCCAGCCCAAAGACAAGCTGCCTGCCCTGAGCTCGAATATTTCCAGGAACATCGTCTGCTTTCAGTCTTTCAGTGTACGACTTGACAAGAAGCTGAACTCAGGCCGCAACTGGAGCGCGACAGTTCCAGAGCATCTGGAGACACTTCGGACACGGCATCTTGGTCGCCATAAGATTATACAATTTGCAGAAAAGACACGCTGTTGCCGAAAGAGTCACTACCGCCGCCTGTTGCAAGGCTGCGGCTCCGGCAGGACGGCAAGACGGCGCGCGCCAACCAGTTCTGCGCCGAGCTCAACTCCAAGTAAGTTCAGCAGGGTTGCGCTACAGAGGTCGCAGCCGGACTGCGAACCGAAGTGAGCGCCTTCGTGATCACTGTGCTAACTCCCGAATTACGCAGGAACTGGAAGCCGTCCTATCTTCTGGCTTGGCAACGGAGGCTCCAGGCTGTATGCTGTGTAGAAAGTTTTCCGTGCGCTCTATGGCGTGACTTTGTATTCTTCTACAACCTGCGCCTGCAGCTGAGCGTTGAAATGTTTATCAGTGCCGTGCTCAAGCACGGTGCTGCAGGCGTCGGGCACAGGTCTTTAGTGGCCAGGCAGAAATACCTTCGCCGCAAATGCCTCTCGTACATCTTTCCGTGCAAGATGTGGAAAGAGCTAGTCTTCAATGTCAATTTGTCAGTATCGCGCCCCCGCCGTCCGGGTCGCGAAGAGAACGGCCAAGTGAAAGTTCAGCCAGTAGGCTTGATTGTGGCCCGACCCACGGGCTCCTCTTTTTGCTTGAAAGAATGAAGCCATCATGCCATCCACGCACAGGGAGCAGTGGCAAGGGGAAAGAGATCATTTGGACCTGTTGACCAGCTGTCGCATTGCCGCCAAGTTTAGTCGGCAAGGCAACATGGAAACACTTTGGATGTGCTGGCAGCGTGTGTTCCCAGAGCCTCGAAACCGTGCCACGGGCCCAAGCAACTTGCTAGCAGGACGCCTTGCAGCTCTTCACCTGTTGGACTCACCACGTCAGCAGCCATGCCGGGTCCTAGCAAGCGGCGATTCAAGCTCGGCGCCATGGACCTCGAGGACTGCACTTCCAAAGCCCTGCGCACGCAACATTCTGGGAACAGCAGCGACGGTCGGCAGCTGCTGGCTTGCGTGAGGCCCTGGGGCAGTGCGTTCGGCGAGTTCAAGGAAGTGGACAAGAGTATGCCGCTATGGCAAGTGCAGGTCAGCCACGGCGGCAACAACCATTTTGGATACAGGGTTGTTGCCATGGCCAGAGAAGCTCTACAAGACCACCCCAACCCGGAACTCCGGGACCTGCGTGGCCTTGAAACCGCTTGGAAGGTCAAGCTCTTGAGCGGGGCTCCTGCGAAAGAGAACGAGGACCCTGACGGCGTGGGCCTCCAGGACTGGCAGGTGGTGCTGTACTGTGCTGGAAGCAGCCCCAATGCAGCGCTGGATCTTGTGCACCTTATCCTCAAGCACAAGGTAAAATGCCAAACTTATGCGTAGCAGCCCCGCCGCAGTGCGATTTGCTCATTCTGCCCGAGCCGTGGGTTCTGTTCCCTGCTGCAGAGATGCTGCCACCTTTCGGCGCAGTCCCGCCTTCTGGCCGACGGCACATTCTCGGGCAGCTTGAAATCAAAGAAGCCCGCGGAGACAGCCAGGCCGAAAATATTCTTTACATATTCTCCTTGTTCGGCGGGATCTACCTCTTCCGGGAACTCTTTGAAGCGAGCGGCATCCCCGGGACATACATAAAACAGGGTGGTGACAGCGACTATATGCGCTACATGGAGTTCACCGACAGCGACGAGCACAAAGAGCAGATACAGCATGTTCTGCAGAACGTCTTGCTGAGGCGGCCAGTGTACTTCATCAATGGCACTGGTGACGCAGACAACGGAGTGGCCGTTTGGATGATTGCCCAGGATTCCGTCTTCCTGCAAGAGACGGACAAGTGAGAGTGGCCAGTCGTCCCACTGCAGCTTGTGGAAGAGCCCTGTAGCGGGAGCATAGGCACAGCCGTCAGGAGCCACCGAGTACAAAAACCGAAGGCCGCCGAGGAATGCCTGGCAGGTTAAAGCCACTGCGCAACCCACCAACTGAATGGGCTCCGAAATCTTTGCTCAAGCCGATCAGCAATTATTCTGCAGTAACTGTAGTGCGTAGTATGCTAGTCAGCTAGTCACGTTGGATGACTGCAGACAAGTGCAAGGCTAAGCCATGTTTAACGAAAGTCTTCTAGCTTTATCTGGCGACATGAGCGAACTCCGACTCCAGACTCGTACATGATTTTCGTCTGCGTCGCACGGCTTAAGCGGAAGAGATTGTAGTGTTTAGAGGCACACAGAGGACTTTGTAGTATTTAGAGGCACGCAGCTCCCTTTGACCGATGTCGGTCGGGCCTGCGGCGCTGCCCGACACATTACTGCGGCAAATCACATTGGAACTGGCAGGCTTCGAGTCCGTGCAGCAGCTTAGATGCACGTGCAGCTGTGCCAACGAGAGACTTCTGCGCGAAGAAGTCGATGCCAGAGTTCAATATGTACGACGTTGTCTACACCCTTTGCTGGCAAGGCAGCTGCTTCTGCCCGGGTTCAGCGAACCGGTGCCCTGCCAGGCGTTTCCGACTCTCCCTGGCCAGGACTTCTTTGGAGAAGGAATCCGTCGGTACGTGAATGAGCTGACTTCAACGATGGATGATATATTCGCAGCCAACTCGCTGACAGATTGGATGGAAGTCTGCGGATTGGATCTTTACACACCAGCTGAAGCGATCCTTGTTCTGAATGCTTGGCGAAGCAATGCTCGTGCTGACGGCTGCCGGCTTAGTGACTTCTTGGCCATAAGCAACGCCAGCTTTTTGTACAGGCCCTCCTTGGAAATCCGTCGAGGGCGAGGCGTGCTCCTGCGCACGGAACCTGTCCTCTGCATTGCATTCAACTTCAGAGGGTTAAAGGGCGTGTTGTTAGCCAACGACCGCATCGGGGGAGACAACGAAGGCAAGCGCCATGGCTAATTCAATGCTGTGTTGGAACCGTCGCGGCATTTTGCCGAGACGAGCACCCGCAATTCTGACTCGCGAAAAAGCTTTGCAAATCTTCGCAGCCAGCCGCAAATCTTCTAGCTGACCGTTTTACCAGAACAGCATGCTCAGGCTCAGAAGGAAGGCTTGCTTCAAGGTGCTTCCAGTGTCTGCCTCTATGCCATGGGAAGCGACGATGACCCTGGCCCTATTCTGCAGCATGTGGAGACGCAGCCCGTCAGCAGGAAACGTTCCAGCCAGAAGTGCGAAGATACGGAGGCAGAGCTTGAGGGAAAGAGACGCTTGGCCGATGTCTCGAGGACTACACTGGCGAGGGCAGGCTTGGCTTGCATGCTGCCTGAGCCACTGAAGAACGAGACAGCGAGCATGGCCAGGTTTCCATCCCAACCTGCCGTGTTGCCCGAGCGGCCACCAGACGCCTGTGTCCTGGATCATCTACGACGACTGCATCCGCACCCGAACGACGGACACCTCACCGTGAATGCCGCGGAACATGCCTACTTCTGGAAGGGAGAGCGTGTTCGGAGATCCGTGACCCAGGTCATCAAACAGTTTGCGGAGGAGTTCGACGCGGACGCTATCATCGCCGGCATGCGGCAGGGACCAGAGTGGCCGCGACCGGGCTACCTCCGTCGGCAGCCTTGCACCGAATCGATGCGAAGTCTGCAGCAACTGCAGCGCACTGTTCCCGAAGCAGCGGACGTCCTCTTGCTGATGCAAACCAGCGAACGGGACGAGCAAACCGCTTGCGCAGCGATACGGCGCCTGAAGGGCCGTCACCCACAGCACGCGACAACTTGCAACGCTCTAGGTCTCTCGCACGAAGAGATTAAAGAGAAATGGGAAATGTCCCGTCTGCACTGCGCTCGAGCAGGCACCTGGATGCATGCGCAGTTTGAATGCTTGCTGAATGGCGGTTCGTCTCCGGTGACACCTGAGGTGTCCTTGTTCTTGGCATTTCTGCGAACACAGCTTCCGTTAAAGGCCTATCGCACAGAGTGGGCAGTCTACGCCAGCACTGTACAAGTTGCAGGAACGATAGATTTCGTCGGAGAGAAACCAGACGGGAAGAAAGTGCTGGTGGACTGGAAGCGCTCTGGCAGCATCGCGGGCAAAGAGCGTCACTTTGGCAAATTCATGCAGCCCCCGGTCGACGACGTTCCGGATTGCGCAGTGTGGCAGTACAGGTTGCAGCTGAACATCTACCGAGTGATTCTTGAGGAACACTACGACCAGCAGGTGGCGGCTATGTTTGTGGTGTGCACGCACCCGGATAGGGGTTGCAAGCCGTGGGTGGACATCGTTCCGCTGATGGACCGGCAAGCCAAGGCGCTATTGTCCAGGTGCAGCGAGCCAGCACAGATGCCGGTGTCCAGCAGATGACCGCGAAGCATGAAAGCTGAGAGGTGGCACCCCAAAATCTCGAGGCCTTACAGTTAGGCACCTGCTACAATACAAGAGATGGCACCTCTGCAGCGTGCCAAGTGTGTAGGAATGAATAACCCGGGGTGGCTGGCCGCTGCATTAATGTAGATGACTGTATTCGAGCCTCTCGATCAAGCTGGCAGCTATAGCAACGTGGCACTGAAACAAGACGTAGATATAAACAAGGTTCAGGCCAACCTTCTCAGCTTTCAGGCTCAAGACACATAAACTACTTTGGCAGCGTGAGCCTGCCGTATACTTCCATCCAGTCATGGCACCTGCAAAGAGCCGCCAACTCCCTGCGGCTGTTTGGGCGCACATCTTGACCTTTGCGGGCGTTCGCCATCTCATCAGAGCAAGGCATGATGCAGGAGACGACGAAGAAGAGCTGCGGTCGCCTCAGGCGATGTGCCAGGAGTTGCTTGCGGCAGGATTCGTCGAAGCAGTGGAGCAAACCCAAATCGCCGTTCAGCATGGCCGCATTACGTGCTTGCATCTTTCAGCAACGAGGTGGAGCTTGTGCACAACACACGCACTGCTACAGACCAGCAAATCTGTCGCGACTCAACTCCAGGAAGCTGCAGCGGGCAACTTCCAGAACCTCTGGCCCAACTGGCACGACCCGCAGATCCGGCCGCTACGAACCTGGTATCGGACAGAAATCAGACAGTTCGTGATCGTGGTGCCCTCTGCGGACTTCTTCCGACTCCGGTGGCGATTGATATTGCCAGACACGCCGGCATCTGTGGAATTCCCTGCGCAAGTCGAGCTCTCGCAAGACCCGAACCTGGCATCTTTGCAGATGGATGGAGTGGTGCGGCGCTGCGATGTGTGACATGGCAGATGTCGAGGGAATATCCCGCAAGGTCTCGCAATGTATAGCATAGCCAACCCTACTGAACCGGTTTGCTGGTCTGAGCCCTGCAACAGCCTGTCCGCAGTTTGTGAGCCGATGCTACACCTGTAGAAGGATGTGGGTTTGTTTGATTTCGGGAGAAAGTAACAAGGAAGATTTCCGGGCCGAGCAATGTAAACTTTGCGCATCCTGGGAACAGAGAAGAAAAACTTCCCGGAAGGCCAGTAGGTGCAAAAAACAAATTGTCTGCACAGAAACCAAGAAGAGCAGCAAAAATGTTGCAGCCGGGCGCTACTCCAGTCTATAGGCAATTCATTTTGCTATTCGTGAAGAGGGGTCTTGCCGGCTGAGTGGATGTCGTGGCCTCGGGACATTTCCACATTGCACGGCTCGGCTCGAGACAGACGTGCACCAGCGACGCAAGCCTTCTCTAATCCACACGAATTGTGTGTGTTTAATTCGGGAAGAGGATGGCGCCGACGTCGCTGACTGCAACTGCAGCCGCGAAGATCCTGGAGCACCTCCACGACCAGCCTTTGGTCAAGACGGGTCCTGCCGACCGCCACCAAGCACCGCTCCGCCCGGACGTGGAAAGAACAGCTGAGCACTTCGCTGGAGAGCTGCTGCTGCACTGCAAACACTGGCGCGGGGCAGAGTTCGTCACGGAGAAGGGCAAGGTCGTAAAGGATTCGCTGAAGATCTCTCGTGCTGTGGCACGCTACAAAGAACCCTTCTCCTTCGCGTGCTGCTTCCTGGATGCGGCGGCCATGGTAAGTTTGGCGGTGCCTCCAGACAGCTTTCCGGACTTCGACATCAGACTCGACGCCATGATGTACGACTGGAGACAAGGGCAATGCGGCAGCAGCAGGCGACAACCGCTGCATCTCTGGCGCCCACAGCAGTTCGTACTCGATATCAGCTTTCTACCCCCAGCCTTGCTGCCCGAGACTGACGACTCTGACGTGGACCTGGACTTGCCGCTGCCGATGCCCTGCTCCTATGCGAGGCTGCGGGTGCGCGGCATCATCCTGCCGCCGGCCTGGCGCTCCATGGGCGCCGTCTGCAAGGGCTGGGACACAGCCGTTTTTGCAGTTCGCAGCGCTAGCGGGCAGAGCAGCGCCTGCGGCAAGCCGCGCCCGTGTGGCCAACGAAGCCTGTGCGAGTTCTTGCTGACAGCCAAACGCAGGCGGCTGGCCGACCCTCGTCGCCCACACTGCTTCGACTGCCGACCCGTGGCGGCTGCAATTACAGACTCAGACACAGACAGCGACGCCGACAAGCAAGAACAGAACGCGACAGGGCAGGGCGAGATTTGCAGTAGAGAGATACTTGTTCGCCGCTCTTATAGATCAAGACGCCATATATAACCATCATATCCACAAAAAGACAAATAACACTTGGCCGCAGCTGCAGAAACCCAAAGCCCACAAACTATGCTGCGCCTGACAGACTAACCCTGGCAATTGTCGGAGCTCATGCTGCACTCTGCTGGAACGCCTCGCCGCCTACGAGAAAATCAACAATCTGCCGCAGCCGCAGCCTTTTAAAGCTTCCAACGCGTATAGCGAGGACCTTACACGCACTAGCGCATCTGTCTGTCACTATAACTCCCTCTTGCGACATATACTCGCACTGCGCTCGACAAATGCATGTCTAAAGTCTTGGGGCAGCATGTCGTCCAGAGCCAATTCGCATACCCTGGAGACAAAGAAGGAGGACCTGCCGGAGAGCCAGTTCGCTTGTGTGGAGCGCCAATTCGCTTATATCCTGGGGACCAAGAAGGAGGACCTGCCGGAGAGCCAGTTCGCTTGGGTGGAGGACCAATTCGCTTATCCTCGGGACAAAGAAGGAGGACCTGCCGGAGAGACAATTCGCTTGTGTGCAGAGCCAATTCGCAAATCCTGGTGACAAAGAAGGAGGACCTGCCGGAGATCCAGTTCGCTTGTGTGGAGAGCCAATTCGCTTACCCTTG